TTTTTTTTTTTTTTTTTTTTGTGATTCATTGACTATCGTCTTCCCCTGAACACAACGCACCCTTATTTTGGCTGTATCTGACCGGAAATATAGCTTGTATACATTCACTTTTAGGGTGCATTATGTTCGGGGGAAGACGGTAGGCTGTTTGTCCGGCCACCCAGGCACCCAACTTGTGCGCGGATACATGCCCGGGTGCCCTTGTTTCTACTTTCGGTTTGCTAATTGCAGCCCTTCCCCTCAGATTGGGTGAGTTGCACAGCCAGGTGAGTTAGCAAACCAACAGTAGAAACAAGGGCACAATCGCAACTCGCTGCTAACCCCTTCTACCCGACGTTCATCGTCACGCAAAGGAGTGTTCCTCCAATTGGAAAAATGCATGACCAGCGGCTGCGTTCAATGTGGGACCAAAGTAGCGCAAAAACAAAAGGCAGTCGGCCCAGCGATGTCACTATATTATTCTAAGAAAGCCTGTATGAAACCTAGGCTACTTGGGTCACGCGGATGCAACCCAAGCAAGTTGGTCGGGACTCGGGAGTCATCTGCACAGGGCAACCCCTTTTTTTTGTGGACGGGTGGGTGGGTGGGAGGGGGGTAGAGGGGTGAAGGTTTTCTGAGCTTGGCCAGAGGAGTCGGGAACTGGCCGCTTTCCATTTTCGAGCGTCGGCTGTCAAGGGGGGAAAAGGACGGTATGATTTGTTTTTTAGTGACTTAAAGGGGTTAAAGGGGGTTGTCTGGTGTTTAGGGAGCTAAAAGGGGTTAACGGGGGGTGGTCTTAGTCTGATTCTGTTGTTTTCTTTTTCGTCTTCGATTCCTGAGGTATTCTGATATCACCCTCATCCAAAAGTAGTTTGTATTGCGATTCTCGACAACTTTTTGTTTTTTTTTTCCTGGAATTCGATTTTTCCATTTTTTTCATTTTTTTATTATTATTTTTTGACGCTGAGGCTGGCTGGAACCCTGCCCATTATCCGCGCACAAGTTGGGTGCCCGGGCGCCCTGACAAATAGCCTAGTCAATGAATCACTATTTTAGTACAGTTAAATCTCACACTATGAACAACTTTTTTTTTTTCTTTTTTTTTGGCCTCAGGGGCATCTCGAATTTTTTAATCCCGTCTTACCATTAAACCACCAGTACTTCCAAAAGTCGTGCCCGTTAACGAGCCGCATACACACACACACACAAAAAAAAAAAAGGAAATGTACTACGGGAGCACCCAAATTCATCTGAGTAGAAACGTTTCTACTTTTTTTTTTTTTTCTCACGCCCGATAGCCTGGGCCAAGTGTACCGGTTGTTTTAATTTAAAGCACTCTTTAAGAAGGCAGCGAGCTGCGATTGACAAATGCTGTTTTTATTATTTTAATATTATATATATATAGGCTACCAACCGGGCCGCCCGGGTCCCGGGTGGCCAGCCCGTGCAAGGACCAAGGGAGGTCCCAGCAAAAAAAAAAAAAAAACTCCAAAAAATCAAAAACAAAAATATGTTTGCAGAAAAATAAACTGAACGACTTTTGCCTCAGGGTCACATCGAAATTCTTCACCAAATTTAGAATAAAAAATAAATTTTAAAACTAGTTCTTTTATTTTTATTTTTTGGGGCCCGGCCGGGCAAGTGACCCCGGGCCACTCTGGTAGCCTAGTATATAATAGACTCCTGATGAGTCGGTGAAACTCCGACGAAACAGTTTGTCACAGCCCCTCGTTTGTTGTCCTCTTCCTGTCTCTTATACACATCTAGATGTGTACAACAACAACAACAACAACAACAACAATAACAACGACGACGACGACGGCGGCGGCCACGACCAAGGGAGCAGCGGGGTAGGAAGTGACATCCAGGCAGTTGAGATTATCATCACCGCGATGGGAGGGATGCTGCAAGTGGACATGGTGGGATATGGGGTTGATACAGAGAAGTGGATCAGGCCTGTCTCTTATACACATCTAGATGTGTATAAGAGACAGGGCCACGACCAAGGGAGCAGCGGGGTAGGAAGTG